GGAGTCCCATAATGAGCACTCAACACATCCGAGGTAACAAGAAATCATGACATGGAAGACCACGGGCAGGGCTCTCATGGCGGCAGCGGCTAGAAAGGGAGCCAGTTTCCAAACACCAGCAGAACGCTGCCCCATCCCAAACAGCCTCCCTCGGTCGGGGCGAGACCTCCGGGAGACGAACGGAAAACCAATGCCAGCGAGGGAACGAGGCAGCCACCCAGGTCACAACTCACCACCATCACGCCGATGCCGGCTCACGGCGGGTCTACAGGGCTGCGCAGAACTGCCCCTGTGGGGTTCTGGGACGGTCACTCTTTAGAGGAGAAGCAGCCTCCTCTCTGTCCCTCGAAGCAGCTGCTGGCTTCAAACTGCTGCTCAAGGGTTCCCCAGCCGACTAGCTAGCCCACCAGAAGCCAACCTATTAGGTTACCAACCAACCAACCAACCAATCAACCAGAAAACCCACTAACTAAACCAACCAATCAACCAACCAGAAAACCCACTAACTAAACCAACCAGCCGACTGCCGTGTCAACAAGCTGGCTAACTGGCTCCCTTGTCACTAAATCCTCGTCATCTCTGTCCATCTCCCTGCATCTACAGCTCACCTTGCTGTGCTACCCAGCTCTGTGTGTCCTTGTCCTGGTCAGTGGCTTTCCCTCACAGATATGTGGACGGACACACACACACACACACACACACACACACACACACACACACACACACACACACGGCCACTCAAAAAACAAAACAAAACCAGAACGAGAAACCTCACGGCAGGGGGCAGGGGAGAACTGCTCCCGTGGGCTCCTGAGGCTGTGTGTCTTCACAGAAACAGCAAGCCTCATCTTTCTCCCTCAGAACGGCTGGTGGGTTTGAACTGCCGACTTTGTGCTTAGCAGCCCTGTGTGCAGGCCACCAGAGCTCCCCCAGATGGCCCTGCCCAGCACGTTTCTGGTCTCCCAGACACATTCCTGTAGGTACTCACCACCCACGACCAGTCCCAGCCAGGTGCTCCTCGTCTGGTCCCTCAGGCAGCCTCCTTGCAGATGCCAAGTTCCCAAAATCTACAGGGAGGGAGAAAAAATTAAAAAACAAAACCCAAAAAACTCAGGAGGAAGGTGCCAGCCCCTTTGCTAAGGGAGGGAGCTGTGGGCATGCATGTGTGGCACTGTTCCAGCCCCTCACCTCCCTGCACTCTGGGAAGGGCTCCTGCCTGCCAGACCCGGTCTCTCCCAGCTCTGGGGATTCCCGTCGGGCTTTCCCGTCACTGGGTGGGAAGGTTGCTCCTTTAATCAGGGGGCTCCAGAGGAAGGCGCACAAAACAGGCATTCCCTCTTACCTTTCAGCAATCGGGATTTACTGATTCCCTCTCTCTACAAAGGGCTTCAGAAAGCTACTGGGAAGATGGAGTGGAATTTCCCCATGGTATTTTTAAAGCCCCTTTGCCTACCCATCCAGAGGGCTCCTCGGACAGGAACGGGGTTATGCAACCCCCGGGAGCTCGGGAGCCAGGGGCGTGGGAGTGCACACGGCCTTCATTCTGTGCTCACACTCAGGCTCCCCAACTGCCCAGCCTCACTCGCCCCCACCCTGGCACCACCGCACTACTACTGTTTGCTTCAGACAGACCAACCCAGACCTGAGTAACATCACGCTGGACTCAGGGGCTCTTTCAGCGAGACACAGACCATCACACTCTGGGAGGCTTGTCTGGGCACCCAGGGAAATGACGTGAGCCCCGGGACCGAGCTGGCATCTCTAAGTCAGGCCGGGGGGGAGGAGCACACACATTCACAGGAGAACAGAGCCATGCCAGGTCGAGCCACTTCCGGCCCTCAAAACCCAGGCAGGTGTGGGGCATGACGGGGTACACAGGGGTCCCGGGGTGCCAGCAGTGTGCTCTTTCTTGCCTCTGGGCTGCAGGGTGCTCACTTTAGAACGTCCGTCGAACGGCATCACTCACTCACTGCCGCCGAGGCGATTCCCATTCGTAGGGGCCCTAGAGGACACAGTGGAGTCCCCTCTGTGGGTTTCCAGACTCACTCTTTACAGGCCCAGACAGCCTCATCTTTCTCTAGAGGGGCCAGTGGGTTTGAACCGCAGACTTTGAGGTCATAGCCATATAGTCACCAGTGCGTGCTGGGCTTCATACACACACCACGCCTTCACTCACTCACTCTCCCTCCCCTGGCTCCAAATTCACTCTTCCTCCTGGGAAAGGGCTCCACCCTTCAGAACTGGCTGGACCACTTCACCTGTGTGATAGCAAGTCCTCATTGTCAGACGCCTGGAGGTGGGGCGGGGACAGGCAGCGAGGATAACTCACCACATGACATCAGGGACAGAGGGAGGTCCCTCCACCCTGCTGAGATGTGGGGGTGGGCACCCCGCCCTACTTCCTAGGGTTGGGAGAGGTGGACAGGGAGTGGGGCGGCCCACACCTCTGCTGGAGGGACCTCGTTCCTGACCCTTGACTGGGCTTGAACCTCTTGGGTCCACCCACGGGAGTGACTGCACAGCACTGTGATCAAATATCTTGCCTCTCACATTCACAGGCAGGGTGGCCAGCAAGGAAGGACAGGCTGGGAGGGGGCATGGGGCCTCCACACCACACTCACTGCCATCCCATCTGCTCCAACCCATGGAGACCCTACAGGGCAGGGTAGAAAGAACTGCTCCTGTGGGCTTACATCTTCACAGGCGGCAGGAAGCCTCGTCTTCCTGCTGAGCCCCGAGTGGTTTCGAACTGCTGACTCTTCAGTCAGCCGCGGGACGATGTGCAACCCAGGAGGCCACCAGGGCTCCCTGGCCCAGGACACCTCAGCCCAGAGGTCTCAGCCACTCACGCAACAGGTTTTGCTATTTGTTTCTTTTAATGCTCAGAATCAGTGGAATTCCTCTAGAGGCAATTTGGCAAGAGCATTTAAAAATGTGCTTACCCTCTGACCCAGTAATGCTACATCTGGGAATTGATCCCAGAGAAATAACGAGGCAAAGAAGAAAATGCATGGGCTCTCCGTCAACAGGACGATGGAGCTGGCCCCGGAGCTGGTGGTGGGAGCACCGCTAAGTGAGGGCGGCCCCTCTGGGCTTGTATGTCTGTGTAGAGGCGGTCCTGGAAAACAGCCTGGAAGGAAATGGGGTGACACCAAGGGCCAGCAGGGAGCGCTGAGTGTCGGTTCCTGGGGTCTGCAGCCCAACACGGGACCACTCTGCCTCTAGTGCTCTTTGAGCATCGGTTCTTGTGCCCTTCCCGTGTTTTTTTTTCTCAAATGACCTTCAAGGAACGTTCAGAATCAGAAATAAAAGCAAGAAGACTTTAGTTCACTCACTTCCATTCACCAGGTGAGTGTTTACTGAGCTATTACACCGTGTAATAAATCAGTGAGCCTGGCAGACCCTTTCTCTGTCCTTAGGAGTCGAAGTCAAGACCCACACCAAACCCACCCCCATCGAGCCCATGTGATCCCGACTCGCGGACTCAGCCTCCAGGACGGAGGATGCTGCTCCTTCCTGATTCCGAGACTGCAGATCTCCAGGGGAGGGGACGGCCCCCTCGGGGCCTGTGGAGCCCACTGCACAGGCAGAACGCGCAGGACTCGTGGGGAGGCCGGCACCAAGAGAACACTGAGACGGAGGAAAGTTAGACTGAGGAAAGAGGAAGGAACAGGGTGATGCAGACGGGTGGTCAAGGACGGCTTCCTGGAGAAGGCCACGGACAGGTGTAACTGCGAGTGGGTAGGTGGGTCGGGGAACGGATGAACAGCAGGTAAAATGATCCCAAAGTGCTCTCCATCAGAGCAGACTCACCATCAGGGCGTCGACTCTGACTCACAGGGACCCTGTAACTTTTCACGGGGTAGACAGCCTCATCTTTCTCCCTCAGAACGGCTGGTGGTTTTGAACTGCTGACCTAGCAGTTGGCAGCCCGATGCGTAAGTACTACGTCACCAGGGCTCCTTTGCCAAAGCGCCTAGGGGTCTGGAATTTACTTCCACTGCAGGCTTAGGAAGAACAATGACTTCATCGGGCTGCCAGGTAGACACTGAACCAGACGTGGAGCTGGGAGTATTGTTAGGGGGCTGGCAGGCACCCAGGGAGGGGTGAGAGTGGCCTGGCCCAGCTGCAGAGAAGGGGGTGGACTGGAGGGGACTGGGGCCCTTCACATTCAGAGAGGCCATCAGGCCAAGTCTGTGCAGAGGCTCTGGTGGGCACCAGGCTCGGTGTTGGGTGCTGATGCCTGAGATGAAGGTCCTCTCGGTGCTTGTGGGGGAGTGGGAGCTCTTTGGGCAGTTGGAGCCAGCTGCCTGTAATCCTACGTTGGGAACAGATGTGTGTGTGTGTGAACTTTCAGACAACCTGCCCATTTCCCACCCAAAAGCAGCTCACTTCCTTCTCCAGAGTGGGGTGTACTACCAGGTCTCACACGTGCCAATGAAGGGGAGCATCAAGCCCATCGGGCAAACGCGGAGGCACAAGCAGTGTGCTCACTGTGGGAGCACACGGCAAGGTAACAAGGAAGGCTGCTTCCCTCCTGGGGATCCCCTCAGGGGCTTGCCCCCCGACAGGCACGGTTTTCCATGGAGGCATGGCCGTGAGAGGGCTGCTGAAAGTTTGTGGGCAAGGTTTACCGGCTTTCAATTCAGTTTCTCCCCCAACTTTCTGATCATGCCCCGCCCCCACCCCCTTCAGGTCAGAGGGGGTCACTCAGATCCCCCGGGGGGCCCATTCTTACAACCTGCATTTAAAAATACCCTATTCTGCCAGTGGGGTACACACAGGCACCCCGTCCTTTGAGGAACACTTGCCAGTTGACGGGGTTTTAAAACAACGACAACGAATGTTCGTGAACCCAGCCATGCCTTTAAAAGTGCCCGCCCCGGAGGCTGGCTCGTCCCACGGCAGCACTGCTGCAGAGAGGACACCAGGGCCTCTCGCCG